TACATTTTCATCTGTTTTTTTCTTCCAATAACTTTATTTCATATATCATTGATGTATTTTGTATTATATTCTTCATGGCACTTGTTTATTAAAATATAAAAGAGTTATAGTATTTAAAAGACATTAAATCATTTCTTTCTTTTATTAATATTTTATGCATTAATAAATATTTATTATGTCCCAGAAATCTGATATTATTACAGAACTTGAGATTTAGGTTTAAGTGTTTATATTACTTGCTGAATTATATAGAGTCAAGAAACAATCATCAGTTAGTCATAAGCTATTAGAAATTAGATTTGATAAAATGTATAAATGTTTCAGGACATGCTGTGCAGAGCCGTGGATGGCGTCCTGATTTGCATTTTGCTGCTGCCCTAAAATGCTAATTGGAAGTAACTTGAGTATTGCAGTTTCCTTTCATGTTACCGATCATAGTCTGCCACTGAGGGATGTCAGAGCAGGATCTCAATTCAGGAACCTAGGGGCAGTAGCTAAAGTGGAACCAGAGAGGGACACTGCTTACTGGCTTGCTTCCCCTGGCTCTCTCAGTACCTTTCTTAGATGCAGCCCAGGCCCACCTGCTCAGGGATGGCACTGTCCAGGGTGATCTGTGCTCTTTCCTGCATCAACTATCAATAAAGAAAATTATATACAGACATTCATGTTCATAGATCAATTGAATTTCTCAATTGAGGTTCCCTCTTCCCTGATTACCCTGGATGTATCAAATTTATATTTAAAAAAGCAAAAAAAAAAAAAAAAAAAAAAAAAAAAAAAAAANCAAAAAAAAAAAAAAAAAAAAAACAAAAACAAAATAACCAGAGGAGGTAGAGTTCAAGACGTAACATATTGACCAATGAAATGGCTCATTCTTTCTTTACCTGTAGCAGTTAGCAACAATTCATATATGTATATGTCTATATATATATGTTTATACATATATATTAAAATTTATGTGAAGCTTATGTGTGTGTGTGTGTGTGTGTGTGTGCTACAAGCCTACTCCAGTAGGCTCTCTACATCTTTAAATCAAAAGGATTAATACTGCCTTGGATTATTTCATTATGATCAGTAAATATATTCATTACTTATTTGGGGATAATAGTGACTAACTCTCAGTCCAGTGAGAGTTAATGGGATCTCAGAGAATATGAGCTGAGAAAAACTCGAGATCAGCCTGACATGGCATATAGCTTTCTGTAGACTGAGATTTCAGTACCACCCAGTCCTGCAGCCATTCAGCCCCAAAGAACGGCTGTTAGGGAGGCTTAGAGGGTTGTTACATCTTGGATAGGCAACTCAAATACCAAACAAGACAATGTAAGATAGTTTCAATATGATCATTGGTTTTATGTGTCTTTGCTTTCTAGAAGGCTCAAAAGGCATGTTTTTTAAAAGGCAGAGAAGAGCTTGGAATCAACAGACTCACTTTTATAGCCTTCTATTCCCTAAACTATATCAATAACATAAAAGAGTAGGGGACAGGTGACAAACTGTATGTGAATCATGAAATCACATGGCCAAGGTAATGCACAAAACAGTGAGGGATTGTTGCTGTCGAAATAACCAACCTATGTGTATTTTTTTCTTTCAGAAATGTTTCAATTGGAAAATTAAAATTTTTCTCCTACTGTAATTTATTAGAATATCGGTCTCTGTACAGACAGTCAAAATTTCAAAAATTTGGAATTAGAAATGAAAAGTTCCCTGCCCTGATTGCTCTTTAGGCTGACGAGGGAGGGGGACTTGATTGGGGGAGGGGGAGGGAAAGGGGAGGGGGAAGAGACAGAAATCTTTAATAAATAAATAAATTTAAAAAAAAGAACTACAGCCCTAACTCAAAAAAAAAAAAAAAGAAAAGAAAAGTTATCAAGGAGGTCCCTGAATTATTCCCATGATCTCCAACACATTAGAAGCAAAGATGATGTCTTTGCTGGGGTCAACATGAAGAATCCTCTGCCATTCTCACTGAAATGTCAATTTTGGTATGGTCAAAAACTAACCAACCAACCAACAAAAAGCCCAGAATGGTCTCATTCTCAGGGGGAGCTGGGAACGTTTATGCATTTTATCTGGTTCTGCAGGAGCTTTACTCTTCCTTAGTGTACTCTGCCCATTCCCCAGGTTCTTTGATATCCAATTAATTTCCTGAAAGAAAAGTGCTGGGTGTGAAAGCAGGCAGAGAGCATATCAGTGAGAGGTAAATCAGACTAGGGCCTTCCAGGCTCCTAACCCTTTAAGTGATAAAGAAAGAATTTAAGTACCTTGAAAACAATACATGAGCTAATCACACCTTGTGCCTAGCAGGAAACCACCCCTCAGGCTCTTGCAGATAGATTTAAAGTATATGAGTTGCATTGATGAAATAAGCTATTCTGGATGAAACTATACTCATGATAATATTTTCAGGTAAGAATAATATTTTGTTCTATAGTCTATTATTTTGTTCTATAATTTATAGATGCGTTTTTATTCAGTGCATAGAAAATCGAAATTCTATGACTTGTTGGAGAGGGCTGCTTGTTCATTCCAGCCCCCCAGAACCGAAGTAATCACACAGAAACTGTATTAATTGCACTTATTGGCTAACTCTTACCTATTAATTTAACCCATCCCCATTAATCTGTGCATCACCACGAGGTCATGGCCTACCAGCAAAGTTTCAGCGCATCTGTCTCCAGCGGCAGCTCCATGGCTTCTCTCTGACTCAGCCTTCCTTCTTCCTTGCTCTAGGCCAAGCTAGTTTCTTTATTCATTAACCAAGAAAAGCAACACATAGACAGAAGGACCTTCCACATCAATAAATGACCCCTGTAAACCGCTAACCCACTGTCCTGTCTGAGCCAGGCTTGAGGCATTCTCTGAGACATCTAGTCTTTGCTGTAGAAATTAAAAATGCCTTGGGCAAAGTATGATAAATTGATCACTCTATTAACAAGTGTGCTTTGTGGAGAGTAGTTGAGAATCTGGTAACAAATTGTATTTGGTTTAACTGAACATTAAAATATTGAACACACCCCTTACAAGTATAGCTTTATACAAACTATTTTCAATTATTCCATTTTGGTACTTGCAACTTATGGGGAAAGAAGGAGAATGGGCTGGGGCTCTTTCCCTTACAGGAATATGCGTAAATCAGTGAAAATAAACACTTCAATTTAGCATAAATTGCAGAAAAATATTATTTTTCATTAAGAAAATAAAAACTGACTTATCCTACCTATTTCTGTGTAGTTTTTCCTGCCCAAAAAACTTTGAGGTAAATAATTTTTGACGTGCTTCTAGAAGCAATCTCCTACAGTCTTTTGTTGTAACTAAAGGCAGGCTGCATGAGGACAAAAGGAACTTGAGAGTGTAGACGAGCTAACAAAGGGTTAAGCAGCAGAGTAGCAATGCTATCATCTGAACAGAACATTTAAACCAACTAAGTACACTGACTACTGCTATTATTTATTTTCTTTCTAGTCTAGGGATTTTTTTCCTTTTTAATCTGCCAGAAGGGAACCTTCAGGAGTTGAGCCTTAACATTGTTCCTAAGACTTGAATTTATTTTTTAATTAGGGTTAAAATAAAAATAAATGTTCGCCTTTTGGAGCCGTGCAAGTTTGGGGAGATAAAAACCAAAAGAGAAAACGACTTCCCCATCTGCAAAGATTTACTGCTAATCTGTGTTATAAAGGAAAGTTCTGAAAAAAAAATATAAAACAAAAAGCTTTCCAAGTGGTCAAAGACGAATGTAAAGTGATATATTTTAGACCGGAGAGATGGTGTCACTTAGCTCGGTCACTGTTGCCTGTTTATTGTGTTTGTCTGGTTGGCCTGGCAACCAGCTCATGCCATTTCACTCATTTTATAATGTTCCTGTAAATGTTAGGTAGGTCTGGATTTATTATACACTGTCAACACCTAAAATGGAACCCACTGCTTAACGCAGTTCATTTGGCTGCATGCCCCTGCCTCTTTAGAAAAAAAGAAAGAAAGTGTGTGTGTGCATGTGTGTTAAGAAAAAAAAAAAAAGCCTGTAGTGAATCCAACAGAAATGTAGCCTAGACAAAACTAGTAGTTGGGTGGTACAGGCGGTGTCAAAGGCTCATTTAAGCTCTGTAGCTGTTGTGTTGTTGGGTGGGAGGGAACTTGTGAGTCACAGTATTTGTGACTTGGATTTAGAGGGACAGAGTACCGAGAACCGTATTTACTGCTGAATTTATCATCCCCAGAGAAACCAGATGGCAATCACTGTTGTTCAGAAAGGCCTCTGAGCCACTGGGGGATGAATCACAAGGCCATTAGAAACCCGGATGACTTACTGTCCTTATAAATAGGCTGATTTAATCTGCCTACTGTATGACCAAGCACTTTTGATGGAGTCCCAAAAGATAGCATCCCAGAGAAGCCAACTGGTAGGACCTGATATATCTCAGGCATTAAGGTGAATGGATTCAGAGTGCCAAAGTGCTTCAGAAATGTTGAAGGGAAATGTGATACTCTAGTCAGAACCAGTGACAGCAAAATCAACCTAGCAGTAATTGACAGCATCAGGTAAGGACCTCTGTTGCCTGACTCACATACTGGGCCTGTTCAGTCAATACTGTTTAGAAAGCAGGAATGGCAATTAGACAGGGATGGACTTTATCTACAATTCTGGTCAGTGTAAATAAATCCTACTATCTTTTAGCTACTTGGGATCAGTAGGATCATCTTGCTACCATATTGCTGTATATTTTACACATGATGATTGAGTGTCTAGGAAAAAAATGTAATTTTTCAGAAAAAGTGGCATGCACTTTTAAGCTCTGCTTAAAGGAATTTTCTTCTAGCTTCTATATTTGATGAGAACCTTTCAGAAATCTTTAATTAATTAATAAAGAAGTAAATTAAAAAAAATTAAGTGAAACCAATGGAAAGGATTTTAATGAAAAAAGTTACTATCAGCATTAAATTTACAAGTTAAGCTATTGTGCGTTCAGTGCTATGACTTAAATCATTATTATCACCATAGAAATTTTAAATTATCTCATAGAAACATACTTCTAAACAGATCATACCACTGAAAGTAACTTCTTGTTCTCCTTTTTATATCCAACTTGTGTTTCATGAGTTAATTCCTAAAGGCAATCATACATGCAAAGACCTTTATTTATGTTATTGTAAGTTGTATAATGTTTCCAACATGAATCAATGCATAATATTGAGATATATAATTTTTAATCATACCCATTAGTAATTGAAATGATGAGACTTTGACTATCATATTAAAACCCATTTTCCATGTTACAAAATGGCTAGCTTGTAGACGATTTCCCATTAACCTGACTGGAATGAATGAGGACATGGAAGTAAATTTCAAAAGTATACCAACTCATAAATAGATAATTGCTATTTCATGTAAAGGGATTTCTGTGAAGGTCAAGTTATATCACATAAATTTGCATTATAAACCCTGGGAGGTCCGCCGTTTGCTGAAGGGTAAGGAGAAGTGGACCTGGGGGTGGGGGTAGGGATTGGGTAAAGGGCCTGGGTGGGGAAAAGAGAGGGGGGAACTTCAGTCAGGATGTAACATATAAGAGAAGAATACATTCTAAAAAGTAAAACATTAAAAAATTTAAAAAGACTCCACATGCCTCTTCTTGTCCCCGCATATTGGCCTCTGTTACTTCCCTTCCATATGTATCCCATTTTGGGGATGGTCCTATGCGATTGTGTCTCTCTGGAAGTCTGCATCTCTTGATGTCCCCATTTACTTGACTTCTCTGTATCAACACTCACATCATTGTCCAAGGAATCCCACCCTGCCCCTCGTATGTTGAATTTCAACTCTCCCTATCCATTTTTCTTGCCTCTTTTCATCCTCTATTTTGCTCACATGGGCGTATTTTACCCCCCTGCTTAATCTTTATAGTTATTATCTGTTTTCGCTATATTTTTATTTTATTGTTCTATTTCCAACAACTGGTATCTGTTCCCCAATAAGCAATTAAAGATATTTGTTTAATTTTTATCATGTGTGTGCTTTTGTGTATATGTGTGGGTGCACCATGTGAGTGCAGGAGGGAGAAGAGGGTGCTGGATCCCCTGGAACAGGAGTTTTCGGCAGTTGGGAGCTGACGAATGTGAGTCCTGGGAACCAAATTGAGGCTGTCTACAAGAGCAGCAAGTGCTCTTAACCACTGAGCCATCTCAACAGCACCTCGATAGGCAAACATATATCAAACAAATAAAATTCTTTAAAACATATTTCAGGCATTAATGCTATAGTACAAAACGGTATTGAAAAAGAATGCTAACAACAGGAGGGCCCTTTACAAGGGACAGGAAGTGTGTGGATTTGAATTGAAAGGAAGGCTTGGAGGATCTGGGAAGAGATGAGAAGAGAAAACTGTAATCACGACATACTATAAGGAAAAAAATCTATTTTCAATTTTAAAAAGTAGAAAAAAGATCTGTGTACTTGTACTACAACTTTAGCTGAGTTATTTAAACACTTTGAAACTCAGTTCTTTACCACATGCCATACAAATTAAAAAAACTGTTAACCATATAGGTTCATTGGAGGGCAAAGTATGATAACCATTTGGTAGAGTATTTTACGAACAGTAGACTTTTGATAAACACTGGTTCATTTTTAGTCACCATACATTAAATTAAATGTAAGTCCTTTAAAATATCATATATGGAAGATAGAGTATAAAGTAAATGCTAAATCATAAATGGTATTACAAAATAATCAGCCAATACATTATCATATACTAACTTGAGACAAGCCATCCATGGCTCCCCTGAGACCATTAAAATGAGATTAATCCCATCACACATCAAGTCTTTAAAGTGAATTGATTTATTTTCTTCAACTCCAACTTATTGTGTTACTTTGAAAAGGCTTCTCATTTGATTTGCAAACAACCAAGTTGTGATGCCTTCCTACTTTCTTGATCAAGATGAAATCTCTTATAGGGGCGATGTTCTCCCAAACACATCAGCCTGCAAAAAGGCTGACTTCTCTCTTATCTGAAGACTATGGTGTTAAGAAATTTGCCCACTTTAAAAGAAAGTCTTGTCACATCTTACCTCCTGGTCCTGTTCATTTTAGTTCTTGGTAGCTCCTTCAACAAACACAATAAAGAAATGTTTGAGACTCAACCCGTCAAGGCTTCACAGATGAGATCAAGTCAGTCGTAATCCTCGGTGACAAACAGGGTAAAATACATGGGGAGTTTGTTTAGGCTTTGTTTTGAAATGACGAAGTAGCCTGTGAAAACAAAATTTAACAGGCCCATTAAAGTATTCTGTCTCCATCACTAATGTGAACTTTGCTTATACGCTGCTTGTTATGGACTATAAACGGCAATGGTGGGGTCTTTTATTCCATAGTGTTATAAAATGTCCTGACTTTGGCTGCATATAGACTTTCTAAACTCAAGAAAGATAATGTTCTTATTTTATATTTAAATAAAGGCAGTGATTCTAAAATCGTAATGGCCAGATAGGCATATTATATTGGAAGGTATGTGCCTGAATTAAAGAAAACATAGAATTCCATGCTACTGCATATGTTTTTATTAGATGGTGGGCTATGCTGGTAGCACGATCCGCACATTTCAGCTTGCTTTTTAGTCCGTCTGTCCACAGAGTTTCTGACGGCAGGATGGCAGGGCCAGCTCGGTAGAGTCATGACTACTCTTCCTAATTACTTCACAATTTGCTCACTGGTTTGGGGTAACTGGAACAATTTGCTTGCAGAAACCTGTGAGGAATCAGATGTTAATTGACTTTGTCTTGTGTAATCAGCCTCACAAGAAACAGGACCTCTTTCCCCACCCCTCCCCACCCCCATCACCATTTCTTAAGCTATGTGCTGGCATCCTGTGATCCTGTGGAAAGAAAACACACAGGCAGTTGCCTTGGTATTGACTCGCCAAATCAGATTATGCCTCCGACGCTGAATGGAGAGATTCCAAGAATTAGCAGAGGGGCCCAGGGAAAATCCTGAGAAATAGGAAATGACATGAGAAAGACTTTCTATGATTTATGTACAAGGAGCTGCATAAAGAAAGTGAATTAAGTCACAGCTCCATGTTGTCTGGTGATGCTGCTGTGCTACAGAGCCATGCAGGAGGAAAATGCAGCTTCGCTTGCCTTGCTGCTGCCTCAGTTGGGTTTTCAGGGCTGTCTCATCATGCATCCTTAGCATGCCTTTTCACTTGACATTAATGTTCTGGCGTCTGACTTTTCTTTCTGGGCTTCTTTTCCGACAACTCCTTGCCCTACCGCATAGAAAAACAGATGTGAAGACATCTGCATTATCTAAGAGCTTGTGCATCAGCAGACAGTCTTTTAAAATAGCTTTACATGTAACATCCCGTTTCCACACACACAGTTCAATAGACTTAGGAGTGTTTTAGTGGGAGATGGAAAAGGGAAGCTAGGACAAACTACAGTCATTTTAAATAGCACTATTTTTTTCTTAGTATAAGTAGATTTCTCTTCTGCTCTTTAGTCTTGCCTTTATATTCTTCAATTGCCCTCCGTCCCTCCGTCCCTCCATCCCTCCACCCTTTCTCAAGCAATTTTGATACCTTTTCCACGTGAGACAGTCACGCTTAATCTTTGTAATAAAAATTCAGGCATTTGGGTACGTGCAAGTGTGGACACCTGTGTTGGTCTCTCTAGGTCTTAGATTCTTTGACTCTGTGTGTTTTAAAGTGAGATTGACTGAAATTTTCCTGACGTCAGCACCCATTGAATCCCCAGAGAAGATCTAATTAGATCACAGTCTGATCTCTTTTGTTTCGATTTAAAGTTATTTCTCTCAGTGATTTTCTTTCTCCTTTTTGTTTTCATAATCTCCTTCCATGTTTAGCCTCACGAATTCCTAGGTTAATAGAACGAGTTGGGATATAAGCTTTTCATTCTCTGGTAAATTTCAGTGAACTTGTATTGATCTTGAATATTTGGAGATGTGAATGAGTCCTGCTTGGCTGGTATTTCATTTGGTAGAAAATTTTGAAAGCATACATTTTTAAAAAGGTGTCGTTTTAGGTCATTTTAGTATATTCTTTCTAAGAATTAATTCTTGGGATGCTATTTTTAAAATCTGTTTTAAATCCATGTTTGTAGCTATGTACCATGTACATTCATAATTTTCATTTTATTGCTCTTTAAAAACATATATCATGTTACACAAAATAAGACACAGCTTCCTGAGCATTGGACACCCTCAAAAACACATGATGTATATTCCATGCATTCCCTGCCTGATCTAATATCTTAGTTTTATAAGCAGCAGCATATATTCAACTTTTTTCTCTTTTTGCCACTGTTGATCTTAAGCTTCCTTTGGAAGATATTCTTCTTTTCCTTGAAGTACATATGTATTTTTATTAAGCCTTTGAAATAGTTTTAATTCAGCCTATATAAAAGGTTGCTTTTATATCTGAAAATACTATTTATTTTTATTCCAGTTCACACTTTTGTTGTTGCTTGTAAGCAATCTGCCATCAGCCTGGTTCTTATTCCCTTATCCGTGAGATTTTCTTTTTCTCTGATAATTATGCTTCTGATGTACAATATGACATCTTAATATGACTGCTTGCCTATACAATCAAGAATATATGTGAGGGAAAAAAATAGGGTAATTTAAACTCTTTTAAAAATATCTATTATATGCCTTATTTAATTTTATATAAACAGAATTTTAATATTTATTTAGCACAGGATATATATGTATACATGCTGTCTATAGACGAATACATAGATCAAACACTTTTACGGTATGAATTTTATTTAAACAAATAAATAATGAAAATAATAAACAGTTCTTAAATTTCTGGTTCTCTGAATGCGTACTTATTTGGAGATTTTGCAGTTTAATAGCATACCCAGGAGAATATTTTTAAATCATCACCCTCATGTAATACCATATGAATAGGCCATGAAAACCCTTTTGATGCCCTGCCAAGTTTTGCAACCCAGGGAAGGGATTCTGAATGAGGATGTATGGACTGGGTGCTTAGCACAACCCAACCTTACCGCTTAGGATGGCTGTCCATGCCATTCCTCTGCTGTTTACTCCACACAGGGACCAGTTGTGGAAAGGACCGGCAAGAAAGAGCACAGAGGTTTGGAGGGAGTTCAGAGAGAAGGAGTGATGATTAAAGGCTGAGAAAACCAGAACTTTGAGAAAAGATAAAAGGAACTGGGTTTCTGCAGCCCAAAGAACAAGTCACTGAGGAGCCCTTTAATACTATTTTTCAAGTTAGTATAGAATGCAGAGGTTCATCAAACTCATCCAGAGAATATAACTTTTGTGCTTAGATTGGGCACAGAGTTGCCCATGATTAGCTTTCTAATGATGGCTATTGGTCAATGTTTTATGTTCTGGGTTGGGTCAGAGACCAGGTTGCTGTAGCCTTGCCCAAGCCACTACTCTCAATTTCAAGTAGAATGCATTAGCTTTTCCTAGCAATTTGCTATTCCTATGCGTACTAATACTATCCTCATTTTCTTGGTCTTTTTACGTGAGTTCTGGGGATTGGAAAGCAGATCCTCATTGCTTGTGTTGGGAATACTCCACCCACTGATGTATCTCTTCAGCCCAGATTCATTACTGAGGAATAAAACAATTTTCTGGAAACTCACTGCTGGAAGTTAGTGGAAGGAGCAATTTGTGTGATCCTTGTGAAATTCTGAAGGGTTTTGTTACTGGATGTCTTTGCGCTCTGGGTATATGCACCTGCCCTGTTATAATGAAGGACAACAAGCAAAATCACTTGGATATTTATGAATATTTCCCAAAGTATAAGTAATTGAAAGTAGTCAATATGACAGATGTCATTGATTTTTACATGTAAAACAGTTTCATGTTCAATTGATTTGATAAGAAGAATTATGAATAAAATGAATCAGATTTTTAAACCAAGAGATCAAGTTACTTATTTGCTAACGTACAAAGTGAATTTCCTAAGGAGGTTACAATTGGAAGTCAAACCAAAATGCGTTCTCCTGACCCTTTAGATGCCGAGCATGTCACCAGCTTGTGCCACAAAGATAAAGAAAAATGGAAGGACACCAAAGATGAATGCCAAGGTGGAGGTCATGAGGTTCATTTGATAGATATAAAAATAGATTTTATGTATTATATTTTTATGATAGAAATAGATTCGACAGAAATAGGATACTGCAACTGAGTGTCATGAGATAATAAATGTTTGAATCAGGATCCTGCAGCATGGCAGACAAGATGGACTTGCATGGGAAAGAGACGTAAGAGAGTTGAACAGATTTGTACATGATTGAGGTAAAGGGTAGGAAGCCAACCGGATGAAAACTAACTCCAAAATTTCAAGTGTGGATGGGTACAGGAATGGTAGCTCCATTGACAGAAAGAGGGAATTCAGCCAGCTAGTGCATTTAGCTCCGTGTGAGGGGTGGGAACAGGGAAGGGGCTCCAGCGTTTCATACACTCACATGGCCATAAAGATCTCACGGGGCATAGAGGTCTTGTTTCTGAGTGGAAGACAGCCTGAAGTTAATGTTCCTCAGATGATCAGGAACACTTTTATACTGGTCTCCGAAAACGAGGAAGGATTATAAAAACATTACTCCAAGTAGAGCTTCGCCATCTCCTCTACACAAATGAACATCTTTTTATACAACTTGCCAAGATCTTTCCTCTGCTACTTATAATGAACTTTTTACCTCATTCATGAGGAAGGCTGTCTGATGCCTTTCATATATGAATCTTGTATTGGAATTACAGCACTGCTTCTAATCTTCCTCTTTCCTGAAACCGCGGCGTTTCTCCAACACATTTCATTGGTTGTGATTTTCCAAAACATCAGCGGTTGTGATTTTTAAAAATCAAGTTCTTTATAGAATGTATTTTTTTTTTGAAAACACTCTAAATCACCTGACAGTGTTGAATTAGGAGCGGCGGCAGGGCTGCGTCCCCGGCACCCGGCCGCCCGCATGGCTAGTTTATGCCCGAAATAATTACAAGGAAACTGAATTCTATTAAACACTGCCTAGCCCTGCTAGTTCCAGCTTCTTATTGGCTAGCTCTTACATATTGTTCTAACCCATTTCTAATATTCTGTGTAGCCCACGAACTGGCTTACCAGGGAGGATCTTAACCTGCGTCTGTCTGGAGCGGGAGAATCCTGGCGACTCTTCACTCAGCTTCTTTTTCCCAGCATTCTCTTCTGTTTTCTCCACCCACCTAAGGGTGGGCCTATCAAGGGGCCTAGGCAGTTTCTTTATTAATAAGAAATCATTCCCATGACAGGTGGTGATCCTTTGGAAAGGAGAAGTGAGAGCATAATGATTAAACTTTTACAAAAACAAGAAGGTCCACTTTATTGTTGGTAGTGATTGGGTCTAAATGTTTATGAACCTGGGATACTAACAAATATATTATTTATAAAGTTAAGTAGTCACAAACTATTTAATAGAGTCTATGATGACATCATTAGACTGTCTGAAAACATGATTCTATCAAGCAAGGTGCACGTAGCATACGAAATGTATTATAACTACAGATATATGTGCAGATGTGTCTGCAGTGAACACAGAAGGACACTGGGGGTTCAGCTTCCTCAACCCTTGAGATAGATAGGTCTCTCACTGGACTTGGACCTAGACTGGCAGTTAGCAACATCCAGAGATGTTCTCCTACCCTGACACATATTTAACCACACCTGGCTTTTTACATAGATTCTGGGGATTTGAACTCAGGTAACTGCTGTTACCTGCTGAGGTATGAGCTCAGTCTTAATTCACCTTTAAAAATTCTGCAAGCATTATAAGAATATTAGCCCTATAGAGTAATAGTGGTAGTCAGAACAGAGAGTATATGATTAACTGTTGAAATAGGAGCGGCAGGGCTGCATCCCCGGCACCCGGCCGCCCACATGGCTAGCTTATGCCCGAAATAATTACACGGAAACTGTATTCTTTCAAACACTGCCTGGCCCAGCTAGGTCCAGT